ATTTAAAAAAAAATGAAAGATTATTTCTTTTGCATAAAAAGATATAACTATATCGGGTCTATACATGATATTACCACATAAATAATTTAACTAAACCGGATATTCGCTAATCCGAATTTTCTCTGTTTTCTTAATTTTTTTAGGATATATTAGTTATTTTCATATCCTTCCTATATTTAACTTTTTCTTATTTTCATATATAATAAAGTTGTCTTATAAATGTACAAAATGATATAAAAACAAAAAGTTTTGATCGTTTACTAAGAGAGAAAAAAAATACTTTTTATGGATTTTTGGCTCAAATCCGTACTTTGATTGGAAGCTTTTAAAAGCTTACATAGTTCTCGTTTGCTTAAAAATTTATTTTATTTATTTGATATATTTTGAAAGTTTTGTCCCTTATAATTGATTTAACCTACATTTGAAAATTTCTTCAAGTCTTTGATTGTGTAAACATTATAACTAAATTCATTGTTCTATTATAATTTTGAGAGGCAGAAAGGAAGATATATTTATACGCCACCATTCAGCCAAAAATATAGTCCCTGCTAGTTTTCAAACGCAGTTTACCATTTCTATTTAAAGTTGTACAATTCTGATGAGGAAAGAAAAATATGGTCTTTTAAATTCCTTACAGCTAAATATATGACATATAAGCAAATAAACTTTGAGTGTTTCATCTAGTCAGAAACCAGAGAAGAATCCTACCTTAATCTTTTTAAATTCCATGTGTGGATCGCAGGGGAGAGAGGTGTTTTCAAACTTTGCTGATTTATACCGGTACGCTAAACCAACGAAAGGTGACCTTGGATCCTCCTAAGAAACGCAGACCCTCCCTAGAGAATGTGTTATACATATTTCCAGTTTGACGATGGGGTTATCTTTTTTCTGGTTGTCAAGATATTTTCGAGTTGAATGGTTTTTTATTGGAGTGTATTCAATCCCCCCTCCCCCTGGAAAAAAAGTCCGCGCCTAAAATCCTGAAAATCACTTTTTTTTTCCAGTGACCAGTAGTCTGCTTTCATGATTAAGCATGCTTTCAGTGTTAATTGATCTCGGAGTGCACTTTTTCTTAAATTTAATCCAAGCGTTCAACATCAGCATGTATGGAGCATAATAGACATGAATGGTAGTGTCCATGTAAAGATACAATACTGTTAACATACTTTTTATCCAAGGGGTTATAAACAGAATCTCTCTGATTAATCCGCGGGTAGTAAAATACGCTGATTTCTAAGACTCTCACTATATGCCGAACATGTATTTTTTTTTTGTAAATGGGACAAGTTTCCGTGAAAAACATTGTAACCCGCAGCATACATAGCGTTCATTAATACCATCGGTATACTTCTCTGCACAAGAATAGTATAGATAGGTCATCTAGCATTTCTGAAATACAATTCAAACCAGACTAAGCTGACAGAAAGCAGTTAAAGGACTGTCCTGTACCAGTCTGAGAGCAGTACAATAATGACAAGAGCAGTGTCCCGCAGTCGTGTTATAGGCCGCAGGCAACAAATTCCCATGTACTCTCTATTCTCTTCACAGACCTTCATGTTTTGATTCTGGGAAACGTGTAAAATGCATGCAAAACCCGTGACAGTCAATAGTTCTCCTAAGATTTCTTCTGAAATATGTTTGATTAGAGGCGAAAGTATGTCCATATTTTTAAAAAAAAAAATAGAATGAGGTCTTCCCAGTACTTCGAGACAATAGTTGGATTGTTTCCATCGTAGTCATGAAATAAGTGTATTCTGTGTACTGTATTATACGTACTAGTTTTTTAGTTGACAAAGCATATCTCATTGTATTCAAAAACGTTTACCTGATTTTGTAGGGTTATTGGGCACTATATTGCAAAATTTAAATATTTTATGGCATGATCATTATTGCAAAGGGATAGACAATTCTTTAGATTGAAATTACATCGCAAAATGTTAAAACATCAGAGCAGGTTATTTTTAATAATATAATTGCATGACCAACAATCGTACAAAATCAGACAAACTTACTCTATTAGAATTGACATGTTTGTCCTTATTGACAAATACTAATCTTGACTTTCAAATACACTCAAAAGTCTATGATCGGTTAATCGCAGCGGGTCAAGTTGCATATCCTGCATTGTAAAATCAGGAGAAAAATAAGCCCAAACTCGACTGATAGAACTTCAAGATTTTTTTGAAAATAACACCACATGTGGTGCGATTTGTCCTTTACGATTTAAACAAACTATAGACAGTATACGGAGATAAGGCTTTGATATGATCCTAGTGTTCTAAAATACATTTGATTCAACAATCCTAATGTTTGATTTGACCCCAGGTGCCACTGATCCAGGTGAGCATCTGCTGCTGATAAACACCTGCTAAGACCGGGTAAAACGAAAATATAGATACACAAGAGCATGCTCTACGTATGAACAATTTCTACCACGAGGTAAATTATTGACAAACGAGTTGATGAGACAAGAATTTCATCAGGCTTGTTTAAAGTCAACATTTCGTAAGTTTTATGGTCGATACAATAATCTTGTCAGCAAATACAATTTATCACTGAGTCAAATGCGGACTGATGTTTTCCATACTAACAGTTTATCCATTATGTATACACTGAATGAATTGATGACGGATTTCTCCGTTATTTTCTATCATGACAAGATGCACACGACGGGTGTGACCGGTCGACAGGGGATGCTTACTCCTCCATAGTACCTGATCACACCTCTGATGATTTGCTGTACTTCTGTTTCGTATTGTTTTATGGATTTTGATCAAGAATACGTTTTGTTATCTCCATTGGTTTCATCCTCAGACAATGCTGAAAAGTCCACTGCCTGTCGGAATCAATTTCAGGTTGGGGAAGGGGAGGCACAACTAAATATTCCAACATTTTTAGTTTGGGGAAGTATAAAAACATCTTAAAAAGAGTAAGTTATCTGTAAGGGGGCACAAGCATTTAAAATATACGAACTATAAGATAAATATCATAGCATTCTTTATATCTGTAAAATCTGTGGTGGTGGGGGTACGGCCCGTCGTCCCCGCCCTCTCGATTGTTGTGGGTAGCAATTATGTTCCATTATTAGCAGACCTATTTCTGAATTCATATGAAGCAGATATTGTCTTAAATCGTATACGTGAAAAGAAGAAAACACTTGCTGTAGCATTCAAATTGACATTTAGGTATATGGAGGACGTATTGTCAATTGACATTTGTTATTTCCATTCTTATGTCGATACGATATAATATATTTCGGTGAGCCTGACGTAAAAGATACCAGGGAGTCTGACACATCTGTTTCATATTTAGATATATAACTTGAAAAAAAAATGAATGGTAATCTACTTAGTATTAACCAAGTTTTATGATATACGTAATGACTTTCCTTATAACACTTATGCCGCAATACACTTTCATCACCTGCATACGGGGGTTTTATCTCTCAGTCGATTCGATACGCAAGAGCATGCTCTTTGCTTATGAACGATTTTTAAATCAAGGTTCCTTACGGAATCTCTCTGATTAATCCGCGAGTAGTGAAATACGCTGATTTCTAAGACTCTCACTATATGCCAAACACTTTTTTTTTGTAAGATGGGACAAGTTTCCGTGAAAGAAAAAATTGTAACCCGCAGCGTACATAGCCCTCTACAGTATCTGCACAAGAATAGAATAGATAGGTCATCTAGCATTTCTGAAATACAATTTAAACCAGACCAAAACTGACAGAAAGCAGTTAAAGGACTGTCCTGTACCAGTCCGAGAGCAGTTCAATAATGCAAGAGCAGTGTCCCGCAGTCGTGTTACAGGCCTCGGGCAACAATTTCCTATGTATTCTCTATCTCTTCACAGACCTTCATGTTTTGATTCTGGAAAACGTGTAAAATGCATGCAAAACCCGTGACAGTCAATACTTCAACTAAGATTTCTTCTAAAATATGTTTGATTATAGGAAAAAGCATGTCCATATTTTTTTTAAAATAGAATGAAGTCTAACCCCCCCCCCCCCAGTACTTCGAAAGAACAGTTAGATTGTTTCCATCGTAGTCATAAAATAATTGTATTCTGTATACTGTATTAAACGTACTAGGTTTTTAATTGACTAAGCAAAATCTAACAACACAGTGTATTTTGTATATATTCGAGCGACATTGTTACTAATTTGCAATACAGTAGCTGAAATATGCGGTCTTTTAGGGCATTCCAAATCACTCGCGTTTTGCTACTCTCAGTAATTTACCTTATTGCTGTACCTGACATGACACATGCACAAGTGTGTCAATCAAATAAACTGGTTTATCATTATTACGTACAAAAATAAAGAAACAAGCATAATGCATTACTTTCCTACTATAGAGCAAGTTTTCCGGGGGGAAACATTTTAGGGGGGAAAGCATACTCTACAAGACCGGTATAATATATCTGTAAAGTCTAGAAACACCCCCTCCCTCCTTAGATCCAGATTAATAACATGTGAAACATTTTAGTCTAAAATGAATACACCTGAACATGCTATTCTGGGTCCGCCGTCATAAAACTTTAAGAATTCTCAAAAAAAAATCTCAACTCAAGTCTTGAGAATTACTTAGCTGAGAATTTGAGAATAAAACAGAGTTTAATGAATTCTTATTTTTCTCAACTCTTTTATGAAGGCTGCTGAGTCTGAGAATTTGGATTTGAGAAAATTCTCAGACTTGAGAGCATTCTCAGACTTTAGTATGTTTTTTAACGGCGGGCCCTGTTACTTACTAAAATAACCCATGCATGCGACATTTTTCTCTATTGATTCTCTTTCTTATTTGAGTTAATGTTTCTATAAACCCGAAGCAATTTACGAGCAATTTTTTAAAGTAAGTGTATACTAGCTGTCAAAAATTACTATATTTTTATTTACATTGTATAAATACATAGTATATACATATATGTACACATTAATCTCACATTCTGTAAGAAATGTTTTTCTACTTATAAACACCAATTCATTCATCAACTGACAATTATCGGTAGTAGCTAATTTTTTTAGAGGGCATATTATGGTTGTTTTAAGAGGAGAACAAAATTAATTACATCAGTTGTTGACAAATTAAAATAAAGCAACATTGAAACTGTGATATAAATATCTTATATAGTTAAAATCCCAGTCTACAAATAGACCCTAAAACTTATGAAAACGAAGAAAGCTGATAACACAACAAATTCACTAGATTTGAAGACATATTCAGTGAAGGGTCAGTGCACATGCAGCAGCATTGTGACCTCATTTTTCTCAATACTTCGATGTCTTTCTCTCGGCGAAAGGAAATCACGAAAATTATAAACAGATATTAGTTATCAGCAGTCTTTCAGTCCTCAATGTCTTATCTTTTTTCTGATTCATAATAAAACAATTACGGGCTGTTTTGGAGGTAAATATGGCTTTATAATTAAAACATTAGTACATGTGTCTGACATCATCTTTTGTTCTTTTAATACTTTTCTATTTCTTACAAGGCCCAAAACAGTCCAATAAGTTACCTGAAACTGTCCAATAAGTTTAAAAATCGGTCCATTATTAAAAATACTGGACAGTATTCAATAACGTATTGGATAGCTACAGGTAACTTAGTGTATTAAGAAAACACAACATATGTAAACACAAACAAATAATTTGAAGACAATGAATCTAGCAGGTTTCACAATGTATAATCAAATAATCTATTCCAAGTCAATGAAACAAAAACTGAAGCTTTGTAATTATCTAATAAATGTTGAAATGCATAATATTCCAACTCACAATGAATATCAAAACTTAAATGTTTAGGAAATATCTCCGAATTCTAATTAAAAAATTAATTTGAACCAACACACCAGAAGGGATATCACTTCTCCTGGCAAGAATCAATACCTCCTTCTCATTTCTCACTAGTACTTTGAATACTTATGCCAATTTTTCTGCAGAAGCACATCCATCGTTTTTTTTCTATACTATATGAATTCAAGGGAGTATGGTCAGTAGTCTTGTCTACTCCCCATTCGTTTCTGACTTTAGCGCATAAAAAGCTTATTCTTTTGTTGATTTCTTTATCACTCAACACCTTGACGTCCTTAAGCATGAAAACATCAACGTTGTGCACTGTATAACATTATTTCTATCATTTAGAGAACATACTTATTGCCTGTTCATATTTTTTCTGTAATTAGACATACATTGACTTTATTTGATAGGAGAAATCAACCCGCCCAAGCCAATACATATATAGTAAAATATTAGTCATTGACTCAGAATGAAAAAAAAAACACTATTGTGGATTAGAATGTCATTTAACCTAACTACATTACATAAAATTAAAAAAAGGAGGGGGGGTCACATACACTACACTGTCCCCTTCTTTTAAACCTCATGAACATCATTCATCAACAATACAACACACATATAGAGACAAAGACATTCACACTCATACAACAATATTACAGCACTTCTCACCAAATACTATGTACAAACAAAAGATAGTATATCTTTTGCACACAACCGTCACACAACAAAAGACAAAAATAAAATATAAAAAGTATCATACATTCATCACGCTTTCTCAAAATCATAAGTTAAACAAAACATATTATCGCGACATGTATCTAAAACGATTCATGTCAAATAAAATAAATATCACTTCTGTACCCACAGCAACAAAAGCCATAACAGTAGTAACAAATGACATGCATAACCGCGGTAACAAAATTAATTAAGTATTTTCTCTAAATGTTTATATCATGCTAAAGAAAAGCCATGAGGAGAGCATTAACCCCCTGGTGATTAATCGTCACTAATACACCTAAATTTGAGGAGCTAATCGTCATTGTACTGCCGACTTAAGTTGATCCAATTTTACGGGCAATTAGTAACCAAGTATATAGGGAATATACAAAATCTCTATTTAATAACATTTTATTTCAATCCTCAATAACTAAAATAAACCTCATACATGCAGTATCCAGACATAGGCAGTGCCTCAACAAATAAAATATCTATTTAATTTAATTGATCCTAAATAGTGCAGACACCTGTGTAGACAATATCTTTCAAACAAAATCTCTACAATGCATGAACATTCCAAGAAATTCGTTCCGAGAAGAAAAAGGGGAAAAAATTGAAAAAAAAGAAACAGTAGAATAACTATAAAGTCTTTCGTCTTGATATAAGAGACCTTAAAAAGAAACAATTCAATCACTATAAGTCCATTGTGAATGGAAGACTTCATGCAAAATAAATTATTTAGGAGAGCTTACTGGGGTTAGATTTTATTATTCTGAGGAAACATTATTTCCTGAGAATTTGATAATATGATCGTGTTCTTTGACAAAAAATGAAACTCCAATCATAAAATGACTACAACGAAAATTATTTATCCGAATTTTACTTATTTTACAGTATTTTGTATAAATTCATTTAGTTTGAAGGAACTCCTTTTTTTTGAGTTGTAAGGTGAATGAGTAAATATTATCCAAAAACTGGGGAAAAAAAACCCAAAAGTGGTTTGTTGTATATTTGTGTTTTATACCCAGTTAGTTTTTTGACTGATCAAGAGTATACGTATTTAGACCGTAAGCTCAAGTTATTATCAAAATGCTAATGATGATTGGTTGATAGTTTTTTTTTAATTTTGTCTGCTTGGTTGTTCGATACTGTTATTTGCTTGACGATTCTTGATGAGTCCTTCGATAGCTTTGTCTATTACCTTTTTTTCTGCAAAACTCAAAAAATCTGTTTTATTTGCTTTGACACAAACTGTCACTGCATATGGACTCATAAAAAATAAGGCTAACTCAAGGTGGTATTTTATTTGTGCCACTGTTTCTGAATTACCGCTGTCTAGAAATACTTGAAAAAGGATAATACAAACCAAAATCACTACAAAGACTTTCGACACACACAGAGAAATTTTTTTCTTAACAAACAACAGTTTTTCAGAGATGGCATTGTACTCACTCTCTGTTAGGTATTCTAAATTAGTACCACCCTCTCTAGAAGGCCAATTTCCCTTGCCCTTTTTTAAAATGTAAAGGAGGATTTCTCTTTCTAAGTTCAGGATTTCCGCATAATAATTTAAAATGTAAAATATTGCTGTGACAATAAGTAAAGCATATCTAAATAAGCTGGGTTTTATCGGTAGAGCAAACAATGTTATATATACTATACTTCGAAGTAAAAATGTTATAGATGACAACAAGGGTCGAATTATTAAGAAATAAGAGATGATATACAAAAATACGCATACAAATATGCGACAAATGTACCAACAAGTGATTATTAAAGATGATAGATATCCGTTTTGTGCATTTACATTGTTTTCCCTATTACTTTCAACCTTACCATTTCCATTATTCTTTTGCTCAACTGCAATCCGTGGATCTCCTTCCTCTCCATTTTTATTCACGGCATCATCTTTAAATAATTTGACAATAAGACACTGAGACATAAAGGAGAAACAAGGAAAAACAAAAATCAATACATGGAATAGAATTTGAAACATATACCAAACGCACACCTTTTTACGTTCACTCGAACACATTTCATTACCAAGGCTTTTTATTTTTCCAAAACGAGAAACATGTTTTGCAATAAAATCGCTTTCTTCCTCATCATACTTCTCATTCTTTTCTATGTAAGATCTGTAATAAAGTGGCGAGAACACTATGAAAAGTAATAAAGGAAATATACTGAAACAAATATCAAGATATTTCCCAATTTGAGGATGATTCTTCAAAAATAAATGGATTAGAGGTTCATTCGCCCGAACTATATCACGATCAATTTCCATCATCCATTGAAACTCTGAATATAGACAATATGTGCGATAAAATCCAATGACAGCCATTATAAGAAAAAGGTAAGACGTTAATTTTCGTTCAGGCTTTTTAAAGCAACAAAACTCTTTATAAAGGGCTTTTAACAGAATTCGCTGTAGTCCGCATGGTCTGTCAACTTCTGTATAAGAAAACAAATGTTCATCCTTGTTATTATCCTTGGAAAAGAGTGAAGTTAATCTATTCTGAATCCACACATATTTCACATCTAAAATGGAAAATATCCAAACAAACTGTAATGAAAGGTAAAAGCAGAGGATTGTTGGTATATAAGATATCGATTTAGTTAAATTAATATTTCCATTATTTCCGCCTTCAAATGAAGAGCAAGACAAGTCGTATCCCAGCCAAACAGTAGTTGTCCAATATATAAACTCGCGCCAAAAATCCGAAGAATCATTTATATTGCATAAATAAAAATCTGAACTGTTATTCAGGACTTCGCTCCAGAGTAATGAAAGGAGTTCATCCCTATCTGATGTTCGTGTATTCGGCTCACGCATTGAGTTTGGGCTCAGAGATATATTTAATCCAGCTGAATAAATTTTAAACAAGGTCCAGGTGAGCGACTCAAAATCAATTGGCAATTCACCAAGAACTATTTGCTTCTTGTCCATCAGTTGCAAGTCGGGTAAATCATGAGAAATGTTGCAACCAGAATGGTTGGTTAAATTTAAATGTAAATATATCTTGTAAGAATAAGGGGGTGTATCTTTAATCTTCAATTGTTGTTTAATCCTTTGAACTTCTTCTTCCGAGACAAGGTGGAAATGACAATCTGGTAACATTTTTAATGCAGTGTAGATACTCAAACTGGTATTAAATATCGATTCTGTGTCATCTGTAGATTTTCTGTCACGATTAACAGTATCATTATTAATTTTTTCATCGACGGAATATCCCGAAGTGCCCCTTTTATGCGCCGTTTTCTTGTTAATGCTATAAGTTTTGTATTGGTGTTGTCGATTTATATCGTAGTAGCTGCTATTTTGGTTACCTCTCCTCCTCTGTATGACAGTACATAAGAGAACTGTTACTGTTACCAATACGACAGTTGCTGTGAAGAGTTTTTGTATAGATTTCATTTTTCTAACCTGTAAAAGAAAATATAAAATGATGCAGATTAATCCATCATTAAATTCATCAATATTTTAGGTCCCCCGAGTCATCAGGTGACCTAGTGCTAATTTTTTCTCGTCCGTCGTCCTTCATCGTGCATTTACTTTTGAACATTTTCAACTTCTTCTCTGAAACCGCTGATAAAATTTCAACCAAATTTGGCATACAACATCTGCGAGGAAAGGGGAAAAACTTCGAATTTGCCCCTAGGGGACATGAAGGGTGGGGCCAAACCCCCAAAAATTAATGCAGTTTTTAAAATTCTTCTTTACTGCTGGGAATAAAACAGTCAAACTGTTTATGATTGTAATCAGCATTAAGTCCTCAACCAAAATTATTGAAATTGATGAGAACAGGGTCAAGGGTTCCGATGCTAGCGCGAGGCTCTGTTTCTGTTTAATATATAGTGAAAATGCATTATTTCTTTAAAAATCATTTCCTCTGATCCAGGCTATCAAGTCAATGAAGTATGTATAAAGTCATAATGGGGATGGGTGCCTCTTCCAAAATTATAAATTTCAAGGTTTCTGGATCAGGGTTCTGATGTTAAAGCCCCACTTATGATTATAAAAACAAAATGTGTTTGTGAAACATTAATGCCCCCGTATGGCAGCTTATGGCGAGGGTTGAATTCTCTCAAATGCATGCTAAACTCCAAAAGTCAAGGTCAAAAGTGTTGGTACCCAAAGGAAGGTCTTGTTTAGTGCAAGGAATACACGTGTGAAATATGAAAGCCCTAGTTCTAACTGTTCAAAAGTTATGACCAAGGTTTAAGTTTTTAAAAAGTTGGTCAACCTCTTTGGTCAAGGTCAATGGGTCAAAGATATTTATACCAGCTGAAAAGTCTTGTCACAATAAATATACATGTGAGGTATGAGAGCCCTAGCTCCAACTGTTCAATCAATCACTGGCGTCTACATATGAGTGAAAAATTCTCGAGAGGGACGTTAAACAATATACGATCAATCAATCAACCAACTGTTCAAAAGTTATGGTCAAGGTTAAAGTTTGGTATGTTTTGTAAAATTAGGTCAAACTCTAAGGTCAAGAGGTCAATTTTGGTGGCACCTAGAAGAAAGGTCTTGGCACAAGAAATACACATGTGAAATATGAAAGCAATGGCACTCATATGGAGACGCCACCACTCGTCGATGAAGGGTTGCAATTTTTGTCCTATACTCGGCACTCAGGGCCACTGAGCAGGGAGGGGTATTTTTCGTGCCAGCTCCTAATGTGACACTGGACTTCGGTTTATACGGTCTTAGCCGAAGGACCGGTCTCCACGTCCCACATTGGGATTCGATGATTGATTATATACTGTTTAACGTCCCTCTCCAGAATATTTCACTGATATGGAGACGTCACCATTGCCGGTGAAGGGCTGCAAATTTAGGCCTATGCTCGGCACTTACGGCCTTTGTGCAGGGAGGGATCTTTATCGTGCCACACCTGTTGTGACACGGGGCCTCGGTTTATACGGTCTCATTCGAAGGACCGCCCCATTTAGTCGCCTTTTACGACAAGCAAGGGGGTACTGAGGACCTGTTCTAACCCGGATCCCCACAGGGCCATTGGGATTCGAACCCGCGACCCCGCGACGTAAGGATTAACTCCTTACTCCGCGACTCTGGAGTAGACGCTCTAAACACTGCGCCACACTGGCGACAGTTGTGATTGGCAGAACTGTAAAAATTTTTTAGGAATTTTCTATTTGGTGTAAAATTTTCATTTTAAGCTTTACTGGACAGAGACCCACTTTATTTTTAGCTAGATATCATAGGTTATGAGATATGAACTAACAATGTTATTTTATATATTTTTGTGAAGGTTCTGATTGAAAGCCCATTTTTGTCATATCCTGACACAAATGTATTTTTAAGTGGTTGGTGTTATAGAAATCGAAATCCACGCAGATATTTCAATTTCAGTTGACACACTCTTGTTCTTGTCAGCAACATTATATCAATAAACATATACATTTGTGGTATCTCTATATTATATAAACATACGGAGAACAAATATCTTCAATTCTGTATGAAGTTTGTCTGAGGTCAGAGGTCAATACGTGACCTAATCACACGGCGCAATAATATCTACCGGTGCATAAATATAAAATGACTTGCTGTACTTGCTTTTCATGTATAAAAATGAACAAAATATGCAAGTAGAATAATAATTATTTTATTTACAACGTTTACAAGTATTTCATATAGTATTTTGGCTATTAATTAACCTGACGTGTAGATGGAGAATATACCGTTTTTGTTCACAAGTTTTATGTCACTTTTTCAGCTGTACAGTCTCTAACGTTTATCCTTATTTTGGGGGTAGACTTTAAGTTAAATCTTCATGATAAACAATAATTTTTTCATCAAATTCTACTCACGATAAATGTGTAAACCTGTTGGAAAACATCAAAGCATTGCAATCACGCCATGAAGAACTTCGGCGCTGTCGAAGTTCAATGTAAGCTTTCTCTAGTGTCCCGTGATTTGTTTACATCATAAATATGTCTTTAGTTATTAAAATCGTAGGTTAAAAATGTTTTGATCTTGATTGCCAATAAACTGGCATATCAAGTGTTTCCATCCATCGGATCGTCCATCCCTTTCTGGCGACCGAAATTCCTCCAACATTTTATCATCGATTTTCGGCCGTGTTTCTTGTGTCTTTTAAGCATTGATTATCAATTTTCACGAATAGAAATATTCCCAGACAACAATCTGAGCACTATTACTGATCACAAGTAACCTTTCACAGAATAGTCCCTTAGAAATAAAATCCTGAGCCTAATTTAATGAATTCGAAGCGTAACCGCCATTCAAACCGATTTACACCTTGCGTCATTTTTTAAAATCTACGACGGACGGTTAGTGCAATAATTTATATTCGAAAATATTCAATCGTCTGTCTCAAATGTATATATAAGTAATAAATAACAAGTTTATAAACTTCAATGGGAATTGAAGTGGGTCGGTACGTGATCAAATCTTCTGAGAAGGCCTTCGGCCTTCACAGGATTTGATCACGTGACCGACCCACTTCAATTCCCATTGAAGTTTATAAATTTGTTACTTATTTCTTAATAATTACTCAGCAAGCTGGGCAATCCTTATGTTAGAATTAGGACAAAGATCTAGTTTCTTGATTATTTGCAATATGTCTATTTTAGAACCGTTCACGGTAGCCTAGTGGTAGAGCGTTCGCTTCGTGATCGAAGGCCCGGGTTCGGTTCTCGTTCCCGGCGCCGCGTCAAACCTAAGACGTAAAAATAGGTAGTGACTGTTCCTTCACCAAGCGCTCGGCACCAGAAGTGAAAGTCACGGATCTGACCTTAAAAAACGTAGGCCCCGTGTCACGGTAAGCGCTGGTACGATAAAGAACCCTCACTGCTCAATGGCTCTGAGTGCCGAGTATAGGTCTAAATTTGAAGCCCTTCACCCGCATACGGTGACGTCTCCATATGAGTGAAAAATTCTCGAGAGGGACGTTAAACAACAATCAATCAATCTATTTTTAGATATGTGTTGATAAAATGTGTTGAGGCCTGCGGCCTGGGACATTTTCACCTTCAGGTCCAACAAATCATATGTTGTCCTCATACCCAGTCAATAACTGTATATTACAAGTCAGTTTTAAGATTTAATAAAACATTGCATGCAATATTTCAGCAAATTCAGAATCAGGGAGTTTTATTCTTGCTCCATTTATTAAGATTAAAGCATTGTTATATTTCATAAATCATGTTGAAATATAATAGCTCAGGAACCCTGGTCACTTCTAAGTAATATATATTTCGTTCACAGAAGAATATAGGCCCAGCATGTTTCATTTGGTATACCTTGTGTCTTATCGGTGTTTAGTGAATTTACTCAGGACATAATCTGATTATTTCGAACCAAAATGGCGTTTCATATGGAAGTACATCAAATGTAGACAATGCAGAGAGCCCAAACGAAGCATTGTTAATCCTTCGCTTATTGAGACATAAAATTTTTATTAGTCGTGAAAATGAATGCATGAATTACTAAAGTATAGATAAAAACTGGTATATTTCTATAGTAGAATTAATGTTGCCTAATTTTAAGATAGTTAAATAAATTTATTTACATCAGCAGTGGCAACGATCATTCACCTAGATCTGTTAATAATTTAATATATAAAACATGAAGATAAATACGTCATGAAAAAGCAAAATGTTATAAAAAATATTTATAGATCTAGAGCTATATAGCTCACTTAATATATGACATAACCTATGATATATTAAATAAAAACGTATCTGAACTCTTGAAAAAAGTAAATTTCATAACTTTCAATCTCCTCCTGTTAATTTATCATATAAACATTTGATGTTCTTATAAGACCTGTACTAACATATATAATAATGAAGTATAGTTTATGAAGGATTATTTTTTATATTCAAATCGATCAAAAGATTAAGAACAACATGGAATAAATAGCGATATTTTGTCTTCAAAGCATAATTTTATTTTGAAACAGTCCATAATAAGTATTACAAGTCAGTTTTAGGTTTGAATAAACCATTGCATCCAGCAAAGTAAGAATCAGGCAGGTCAATTCTTGCTCCATTTATTAAGATTTATGCATTGTTGTATTTTTATACTAATAGAATAAGCACACTAAAGATGAATCCCCTTCGGAAAGAAGATTTTGAAAATACAAAGTCCATACATAATGACGGCTTATAATACTTTGTTTAGTTTTGCTACGAATAGCTTTAAGGAATGAGGACTAGAAGGAAAAGATAGTGTAACTTATGATAAAATATTAAGAAATGTTACATATTCTTTTTAACAAATCAAAGTGCGCAGGAGTACAGAGAGCCGGGCTCATTTACAGAGTAGAATTAATTTCGTAAATGAATCATACATTCATTTTTTATTAACAGATACCGTTGTAAATAAGAATTTCAGACACTGAATGTGTTACACAATTAAAAACATAATTAATG